AATAGGACAACGACCCTAAGCACACAGCCAAGACAACGCAGAATTGGCTTCGAGACAAGTCTCTCAATGTCCTTGTGTGGCCCAGCCAGAGCCCGGACTTGAACCCGATCGAACATCTCTGGAGAGACCTGAAAATAGCTGTGCAGCGACGCTCTTCATCCAATCCAAAAGAGCTTGATTGGATCTGCAGAGAAGAATGGGAGAAACTCCCCAAATACAGGTATGCCAAGCTTGTAGCGTCATACCCAAGAAGACTCGAGGCTGTAATCGCTGCCAAAGGTGCTTCAACAAAGTACTGAGTAAAGATTCTGAATACTTACACTACCAGTCAAAAGTTTGGACACACTTACTCATTCAAGGGTTTTTCTTTATTTTTACATTGTAGAATAATAGTGAAGACATCAAAACTATGAAATAGCAAATATGGAATCATGTAGTAACCAAAAAAGTGTTAAACAAATCAAAATATATTTTATATTTGAGATTCTTCAAATAGCCACCCTTTGCCTTGATGACAGCTTTGCACACTCTTGGCATTCTCTCAACCAGTTTCACCTGGAATGCATTTCCAACAGTCTTGAAGGAGTTCCCACAAATGCTGAGCACTTGTTGGCTGCTTTTCCTTCACTCTGCCGTCTGACTCATCCCAAACCATCTCAATTGGGTTGAGGTCGGGGGATTGTGGAGGCCAGGTCATCTGATGCAGCACTCCATCACTCTCCTGGTTAAAAAAGCTCTTACACAGCCTGGAGACGTGTTGGGTCATTGTCCTGTTGAAAAACAAATGATAGTCCCACTAAGACCAAACCAGATGGGATGGTGTATTGCTGCAGAATGCTGTGGTAGCCATGCTGGTTAAGTGTGCATTGAATTCTAAATAAAATCAGTGTCACCAGCAAAGCACCCCCACACAATAACACCTCTTCCTCCATGCTTTACGGTGGGACCTACACATGCGGAGATCATCCGTTCACCCACATCACGTCTCACAAAGACACAACGGTTTGAACCAAAAATCTCAAATTTGGACTCCAGACCAAAGGACAAATTTCCACCGGTCTAATGTCCATGTTTCTTTGCCCAAGCAGGTCTCTTCTTCTTACTGGTGTCCTTTAGTTGTGGTTTCTTTGCAGCAATTCGACCATGAAGACCTGATTCAGACAGTCTCCTCTGAACAGCTGATGTTGAGATGTGTCTGTTACTTGAACTCTGTGAATAATTTATTTGGGCTGCAATTTCTGAGGCTGGTAACTCTAATGAACTTATCCTCTGCAGCAGAGGTAACTCTGGGTCTTCCATTCCTGTGACGGTCCTCATGAGAGCCAGTTTCATAATAGTGCTTGATGGTTTTGCGACAGCACTTAAATAAACTTTCAAAGTTCTTGACATTTTCCGTATTGACTGACCTTCATGTCTTAAAGTAATGATGGAGTGTCGTTTTGTTTGCTTATTTGAGCTGTTCTTGCCATAATATGGACTTGGTCTTTTACCAAATAGGGCTCTCTTCTGTATACCCCCCCCCCCCCCCCCCCACCTTGTCACAACACAAATGATTGGCACAAACGCATTAAGAAAGAAATTCCACAAATTAACTTTTAATAAGGCACACCTGTTAATTGAAATGCATTCCAGGTGACTACCTCATGAAGCTGGTTGAGAGAATGCCAAGAGTATGCAAAGCCGTCATCAAGGCAAAGGTTGGCTATTTGATGAATTTGTTTAACACTTTTCTGGTTACTACATGATTCCATGTGTTATTTCATGGTTTTGATGTCTACACTTTTATTCTGCAATGTAGAAAATCGTAAAAATTTAAGAAAAACCATTGAATGAGTAGGTGTGTCCAAACTTTTGACTGGTAGTATATGTAAATGTAATATTTCAGGGGCGGTTTTGGCAAATATTTATAAAAACCTGTTTTTGCTTTGTGATTATGGGGTATTGTGTGTAGATTGATGAGGGGGAAAAAGCTATTTAATCCATTTTAGAGTAAGGCTGTAATGTAACAAAATGTGGGAAAAGTCAAGGGGTCTGAATACTTTCTGAATGCACACAGACAGGAAATTAGTTGTTTGTAATAAATATGGTGGCCTTTGTTTCTGCTGAGCTGTTTGCTGCCTGCAATGCCTGCTGTCAGGAGTGGACCTGTGAATATTCAAAGAGACAGCTGTGAAATAAAATAAAGTATATTTTTCTTATTAATTCCAGAGATCAGTCTCAAACCTGCCCACGCCAATTGCTGGTCTTTCACATTGAGGTTCCTAGGTCACACCCAGTTCAAACCACATTTGAAATAATAATAAAACAAATTGGCTTGTTTATTAGAAGTGTTCTGCCTTGCAATAACAAATACCATAAAATTAAAAAACAGCAAATACTTTGGTTTATAAAAAATAAATGAAAATGCTATTTAGTCCTATAATGGTATTTACTAACAAAATATAAAGAAAAAATAGTCTCTAAAAGTGTTGTAGGCTACCGTACCCTAGGGTTACTGACTGTTGTGGGTTAGGGTTAAAATAGGTATAACCAAAAAAATTTAAGGGCTATACCTAGGGTTAGATTTTTCTTTCCAGCAAAAAAAATAACTGTATGGGTTTATAACTCTTGCTCCTTGCCGTGGCCATCTGCGGGTACTACATACCTCTTTCGATGGGCTCATAATCTGAGGTAGCAACTGCATTAGATCCACAAATCAATGAGCTAGTCCCATCCATTTGGTTTGAACTCAGTGAGCATATGCTCAATTCAATGCCTACAAACGAACAGATTTAGACGCATATCAAATGACCCAGCAGCCATTTAGAAACAAAAATGGTCAAAAAAATTATCCTGCCAATTTAAATTGCCCACATCTTGAAAAAGAGGACAGGGACAACTTTCTGAAAAAAATCGTCAACCATGACCAGAAAGGTTGGTGCCACAGTGTTCAATAGAACTAATAGCATCTGACAGGGTGAAAAATGCCCTAAAATAATGCCTGTTTTTCGTGATTACTTCAAAACTACGGCAAGCAGCTGGGACATACGGTAATATTACGAAATTGGACTCCATGGCGGATGTAATTAATACATTTTAATCAGGAAAAAGCGTTGTTAAAAATGTAATGTGTCCAGCCTAAGAAGAATCGCGCTAGCTAGCTTAGTAGCTAGCTAACTTAAAAATAGCTTGCAAAATAACTTTACATAATCAATTTCGGTAGATAGCATCAGACTACAATGTTAGTTACCCTTGTAGCAAACTCTTAATAACAATGACTTGGACAATAGCTTCCAAAAACGAATTACAAAGAGAAAAAATAAAGCTTGAGACCTAGCCAGAAAAGACAGACCTTTTAATTTACAGATGGCTTCTTTGTTGGATATGCGCAATCAGGACATGCGCAAGCAGATTGCACATGTTGTGTTTCGCTTAACAGGTTGTACCAGGAAAGTCGGCGTATGTTATACCTGGCTTAAATGCCCCTCGAGCGGAAATGCTGTGTCTTCAGTTTCGTTTTCCATCTTCTACGTCACCAACAGCTCTGGGTAACTTCCCTTTTGTAATGTATCCACTAGTTGGCATCTTTACAGTATTTCATATACATTCATTGATTTCAACAACAAATTGTTCTTTGCAGTCTTTATTTGTCTTTCAAATACAGGAGAGTTATTTAATGTAGACTCAGCGATATGACGTAGATGCAGAAAGTAAACAGCATAGTGGGTCAATTTCCGCAACTACTAAGAGCATTGAAGCGCGAGGCTCAACTTCCCCGCTGTTTTGGTCCCGTGGCTACCACGCTACAACAGTCTGAAGGAACCCGTGCACATGCGCAGATACTGTGTGTGACTGTGACAGAAGTCTTGCATCTCGCTCATCTCAATATCTGCGGCGCTGCTCGCAGCAATACGTTTCGCTGAGTATCTAATGTATAAACAAAGATTTGTCAAGAAATGTACAATATTTACACAGACTTTCTTAACAAGGAAAATATATTTTTTCCCCCAAAATAAGTCATAGTAATATGCAAAACATCAAACTGATAAAAATGAAATGACCATTTCCTCCTTAAATATTACTAATTTATAACCATTCCTGTAAGGGAACTTGATGTTTCTTTCTCTTTGCACCTGCATGATTCTGATTAACTAAAGCACTACAATGTCAGTTTCAAATATACTCTCCCATTCGCTCCTTTTACAGACATAGTTGATGCCACGTTTCCATCTCATCCACCCATCTTTTGTATCAGAGAAAAAAGGAAGACAGCTTGGATATGTGCGTGTATGTACAACGTTTAACCTTTGAAAAATGTTAATGAAAATGCTAAAGGCGGCATCCCAGCACTTGTGAGAGTTTGTTAAAAACCTCCTCATATAAATAATTAAAATGTGTTTATATACTATCACATAGTTCACCGGTGCCGCCGCCTACTGTCGCATAGAACGAGTGAGAATTAACACCGTTATGTTGCATCCTTTCCACAGACAAGCCCATATATATTCACATCACTCACTGCACTCCTCTAACACAATGTTTAAAAACAAATAATTTATGTAAAAACAAAACAGTAATAGATTCTCTAAAACGTTTTTTGACGCACAGGTTTTACAATGTCTGTAAAACAATCCACCGTGACTTGGTGCAATAGCTCCTCCTTCTGCCTTAGGTGTCTTTGCCTCCTGATTGGTCAGTCTCATCTCTTGACCAATCAGGAACAACCCCAGCTCCTGTGGGGTCATCATCCCTTCTCAAGGTCAAGTCAATTCATTTCTATATTTTAGTCATTGAATTACTAAGGAGAGGTCACTCTCCAAGGTCACACCTACCGACCCTCTTGTTCCTAGTGTGGCCTTTCAAGTTGTCCGTCGGACCCACACGACTCCAGGTGGGATGGGGCCTCCATTACCTCGTTTCCCCTCGTTCGCCCACCTCACCATTCCTGGGGCCTAGTTTCTGTGCCTTTTGTTATTTCGCTCTCCCTTTTCTTTCTGTCTTCCATCCCCTCTGTCTGTCTCTCAGGCCTTGGCGCTGAGCGTGAGCAGCTCGATGAAGGAGTTGAAGAGCGTGTCCAGCCAGCCCTGGTTGGCCATACACTGCTGCACCACCTCCTCCTGCCCAGGGTCCTCAGCTGCCTGCTCTATAGTGTTGGTCTGCCAGGGAAGACAACAGTAATACAATATATGAGGTCTGCCATGGAAACACAAACATAAGCACAATATACAGTGTTTTTAGACTATGGTAATATTATGTCTACTTGAAAAAGTAGAAGTACATGTCTCTAGGCTATGTTGTGTCTACCCAAGGAATATAAACACAACATATTATGTATGCTGGGAAAAACACAATATTCATATAAAAGAAATTGAGAGAACACTCATTTAGAATGCCTGATACTTTAACAGTACGTGTGTGTGTGTGTGTGTGTGTGTGTGTGTGTGTGTGTGTGTGTGTGTGTGTGTGTGTATATATATATATATATATATATATATATATATATATATATATATATATATATACACACACACACACACACACATACATACGTGAGTGTGTAAAAGTGTTAAACTTCAAGAACATTGACAAGAGGGAGTAAGCCTACTTAAATATTGGGAGCATTTTGTTTCTGATACAGATTTTGTGTCTCCGTCCCTTACAATCAAAGCATAGTATGCCTGTAACTCAATGAACTGCTTTTGTAATGGAAAAATATTTTAGGGCCAAATTTGAATCGCGATTAACTACTGAAAAATCATGCAATTATTTATTTTAAATCGTTTGACAGCGCTAATATAAACACAATATTTAGAATTCCAAATCAACCATTGCTGGTTGGCAATTAAGTATGAATAAAATGTACTGTATGTCAGCAGGGGACAAAAAACACAATATATCTGGAGTGTTTAAGCAAGGATATGGGAATTAAAAAAAAACATTGGCTAATATTTCTGCTAGGTAAATTGAAACAATATTTCAATATCAACAAGAGAAATACACTACCAGTCAAAAGTTTAGACACACCTACTCATTCAAGGGATTTCTTCTTTTTTTTTTTTTTTTTTTACATTGTAGAATATATTTAACATTTGAGATTCTTCAAAGAGCCACCCTTTGCCTTGATGACAGCTTTGCACACTCTTGGCATTCTCTCAACCAGCTTCACCTGGAATGCTTTTCCATCAGTCTTGAAGGAGTTCCCACATATGCTGAGCACTTCTTGACTTCTTTTCCTTCACTCTGCGGTTCGACTAATCCCAAACCATCTCAATTGGGATTAGTTGAGGTCGGGGGATTGTTGAGGCCAGGTCATCTGATGCAGCACTCCATCACTCTCCTTCTTGGTAAAATAGCCCTTACACAGTCTGGAGGTGTGTTGGGTCATTGTCCTGTTGAAAAACAAATGATAGTCCCACTAAGCCCAAACCAGATGGGATGGCGTATCGCTGTAGAATGCTGTGGTAGCCATGTTGGTTAAGTGTGCCTTGAATTCTAAATACATCACAGACAGTGTCACCAGCAAAGCACCCCCACAACATAACACCTCCTCCTCCTCCATGCTTTACGGTGGGAAATACACATGCGGAGATCATACGTTCACCCACATCGCCTCTCACAAAGACACAGCGGTTGGAACCAAAAATCTCCAATTTGGACTCCAGACCAAAGGACAAATTTCCACCGGTCTAATGTCCATTGCTCGTGTTTCTTGGCCCAAGCAGGTCTCCTCTTCTTATTGGTGTCCTTTAGTAGTGGTTTCTTTGCAGCAATTCGACCATGAAGGCCTGATTCACACAGTCCCCTCTGAACAGTTGATGTTGAGATATGTCTGTTACTTGAACTCTGTTAAGCATTTATTTGGGCTGAAATTTCTGAGGCTGGTAACTCTAATGAACTTATCCTCTGCAGCAGAGGTAACTCTGGGTCTTCCATTTCTGAGAGCCAGTTTCATCATAGCGCTTGATGGTTTTGCGACAGCACTTGAAGAAACTTTCAAAGTTCTTGAAATTTTCCGGATTGACTGACCTTCATGTCTTAAAGTAATGATGGACTGTGATTTCTCTTTGCTTATTTGAGCTGTTCTTGCCATTATATGTACTTGGTCTTTTACCAAATAGGGCTATCTTCTGTATACCCCCCTACCTTGTCACAACACAACTGATTGGCTCAAACACATTAAGAAAGAAATTCCACAAATTAACTTTTAATAAGGCACACTTGTTAATTGAAATGCATTCCAGGTGACTACCTCATGAAGCTGGTTGAGAGAATGCCAAGAGTGTGCAAAGCTGTCAAAGGCAAAGGGTGGCTATATCTCAAATATATTTTGATTTGTTTAACACTTTTTTGGTTACTACATGATATGTGTTATTTCATAGTTTTGATGTCTTCACTGTTATTCTACAATGTAGAAAATAGTAAAAGAATAATGAAAAACCATTGAATGAGTAGGTGAGTCCAAACTTTTGACTGGTCCTGTATATATTAAATAGGTGTTACAATAATATTAAATACAGGGCGGATGTCCTTACCTCTTTCTTGCAGTGTAAGAAAGTATGATATTTATAATGATGCAGTGAATGATAGAGGCTGTAGATCCGACAGGATTCTGTTGACAGTTTAAGGTCCTGTGGGAAGACAGAGGTTAAACTAATAGATTAAAATCAATATATGGAGAGAAACATTGAATCAAGGTTCAACAGCGCAACATGGGAATACACATGACACACACACACAGGCAAATACCTACAAACACACACTATCAACTTATGGAAGAGATGGCCAACCCAACCTAGCAGCTGTTGAACTGATTGTTGGTAATGCCTTTAACACAAACACACACACACACACTGCAAATACCCACACAAACACAATGCAAATACACCCCCCCTCCCAAACACACACACATTTGAAATACTTTATTTGAATCAACAAATTACATTACGTTACAGTCGAGAAGGATTAAAACAATTCAACGGACACAGATAGTGCCTTCAGAAAGTATCCACACCCTTTAATTTATTCCACATGTTGTTGTGTTACAGCCTGAATTCAAAATGAAATAAAAAAATTTTAGTACGATACAGCTATTGATTGCCAACAGATAGACCTAGTGCACGGTTCTGACGGTCTGCCTGGTGGCCGACCCGACTATATCGTGCCCCTCCCCTTTCTCTGTCCCTCGCTATGAAAGATGCAAGTGTTTATGTTCTCAGAAGTATGGCATCTAAATCAGTCTGCTCCGTTCAAAAAAACGGAATCTTACACTCGGAAATGGGAGCCGACATAGGAAGTCGACGTGCAAGGAGTCGAGGAATCAATAATTTGGGAGACGATTCCACCACTACGACATCGTCTTGAAGAGTTGGGAAAATGGCTGAGAAAGGCAAGCGACAGCAGCAAAGTCCTGTGTGGCAATAGTTTTATGAATTTCTATCGTTTTAACGGAAAACCGATCAAAGAAATTGCAGTTTGGTAACCAAGGCTGTTCAGGCATGACATGATGGGGTGGTATTTCAGCAACTTGGCAGCAAAGGTCTGCTCCATGTAGGAGTAAAAAGAGCAACCCACTTCAAAAATGAGCCTTCCGGCCTCCCTCCACAACATCATCTGCCATATTTGGTATACAATGAAACACATCAGAACTACCTACAAACACACACACACCTGTGGTTTGGGTAGGCTCTTCTTGACTCTGTTGAGGGTCTTGCGGTTGTAGCCCTCCCCACTGAGCCGCATCCTCACAGCTCCTGAGTCCAGGGGGTCCGCCGCCATCTGAGGGTACGTGTGCAGTGCCTCCTAAAACGGGTGGAGAGAGAGAAAATGGAAGGAAAGATGTCAAGAAAAATAGAATTTAATAAGGTAGACCTTGAACATTGAAAGGCTAGAACTTCTAGGTGCCCAATCCTTGTATCATGTCTTTTGGAGATAAAATATTAAATTCTACAAAACATCAATGCCAAATTGATGAGAACACTGACAAACAAATACATACAACAGATGGACAGAGCGAGAGACATATTCATAGATACATTTACCTATATATACATTACCAGTCAAAAGTTTGGACACACCTACTCATTCAAGGATTCTTCTTTATTTTTTACTATTTTCTACATTGTAGAATAATAGCGAAGACATCACAACTATGAAATAACACATATGGAATCATGTAATAACCAAAAAGGTGTTAAACAAATCAAAATATATTTTATATTTGAGATTCTTCAAATAGCCACCCTATGCCTTGATGACAGCTTTGCCCACTCTTGGCATTCTCTCAACCAGCTTCATGAGGTAGTCACCTGGAATGCATTTCAATTAACAGGTGTGCCTTCTTAAAAGTGAATTTGTGGAATTTATTTCCTTCTTAATGTGTTTGAGCCAAATCAGTTGTGTTGTGACAAGATAGGGGGGGCTATATAGAAGAGAGCCCTATTTGGTAAAAGACCAAGTCCATATTATGGCAAGAACAGCTCAAATAAGCAAAGAGAAATGACAGTCCATCATTACTTTAAGACATGAAGGTCAGTCAATCCGGAAAATTTCAAGAACTTTGAAAGTTTCTTCAAGTGCAGTCGCAAAAACCATCAAGCGCTACGATGAAACTGGCTCTCAGAAATGGAAGACCCAGAGTTACCTCTGCTGCAGAGGATAAGTTCATTAGAGTTACCAGCCTCAGAAATTGCAGCCCAAAAAAATGCTTCACAGAGTTCAAGTAACAGACACATCTCAACATCAACTGTTCAGAGGGGACTGTGTGAATCAGGCCTTCATGGTTGAATTGCTGCAAAGAAACCACTACTAAAGGACACAAATAATAAGAAGAGACCTGCTTGGGCCAAGAAACACGAGCAATGGACATTAGACCGGTGAAAATGTGTCCTTTGGTCTAGAGTCCAAATTGAAGATTTTTGCAGCATTCTGCAGCGATACGCCAACCCATCTGGTTTGGGCTTAGTGGGACTATCATTTGTTTTTCAACAGGACAATGACCCAACACACCTCCAGGCTGTGTAAGGGCTATTTTATCAAGAAGGAGAGTGATGGAGTGCTGCATCATATGACCTGGCCTCCACAATCCCCCGACCTCAACCCAATTGAGATGGTTTGGGATGAGTCGGACCGCAGAGTGAAGGAAAAGCAGCCAACAAGAGCTCAGCATATGTGGGAACTCCTTCAAGACTGTTGGAAAAGCATTCCAGGTGAAGCTGGTTGAGAGAATGCCAAGAGTGTGCAAAGCTGTCATCAAGGCAAAGGGTGACTATTTGAAGAATATCAAATACAAAATATATTTTAATTTGTTGAACACTTTATTGGTTATAACATGATTCCATAAGTGTTATTTCATAGTTTTGATGTCTTCACTATTATTCTAAACATTTGGAAAATAGTAAAAAGAAAAGAAAAACCCTTGAATGAGTAGGTGTTCTAAAACGTAATAAATCAATTATATATACACACAGAGTGCATTAGGAGAGTATTCAGACCCCTTGACTTTCTCCACATTTTGTTATGTTACAACCTTATTCTAAAATGGATTGAATTAAAAAAAAATGTCAATCTACACACAATACCCCATAATGACAAAGCAAAAACAGGTTCAGAAATCTTTGCACATTTATTAAAAATAAAAAACAGAAATACCTTATTTAAATAAGTATTCAGACCCTTTGCTATGAGACTCGAAATTGAGCTCAGGTGCATCCTGTTTCCATTGATCATCCATCAGATGTTTCTACAACTTGATTGGAGTCCACCTGTGGTAAATTCAATTGATTGGATATGATTTGGAAAGGCACACACCTGTCTATATAAGGTCCCACAGTTGACCGTGCATTTCAGAGCAGAAACCATGCCATGAGGTCGAAGGAACTGTCCGTAGAGCGCCGAGACAGGATTGTGTGGAGGCACAGATCTGGGGAAGGGTACCAAAAAATTTCTGCAGCATCTAAGGTCCCCAAGAACACAGTGGCCTCCATCATTCTTAAATGGAAGAAGTTTGGAACCACCAATTCTCTTCCTAGAGCTGTCAGCAGAGAAGGGCCTTGGCCAGGGAGGTGACCAAGAACCCGATGGTCACTCTTACAGAGCTCCAGCAGGTAGCTTAGTGGGTAAGAGCGTTGTGCCAGTAACCGAAAGGTCGCTGGTTCTAATCCCCGAGCCGACTAGGTGAAAAATCTGTCGATGTGCCCTTAAGCAAGGCACTTAACCCTAATTGCTCCTGTAAGTCGCTCTGGATAAGAGCGTCTGCTAAATGACTAAAATGTCAATGTAAATGTAATGGGAGAACCGTCCAGAAGGACAACCATCTCTGCAGCACTCCACCAAATCAAGCCTTTATGGAAGAGTAGCCAGATGAAAGACACTCCTCAGTAAAAGGCACATGACAGCTTGGGCTGTTGCGGTGACCATATTACCGCCACACCGGCGGTCACGAGTCATAAAGGTAGTCAAATTCCACATAACCATGTATCATGGTAATTAGGCTTCTCCAAGCTCTGATGCTGCTGATGGTCATTAGTAGCCTACCAAGCTTACCAACTGCCTGGTACTCAGCACTCTATTGTCCCTCTAAGCACTCTGACATCAATGCAAATGTAATCGAAAATCAAATACTTCATGAGAGCCCATGAGCTCGTGTTGCACAACATTTCTATAGGCTATGCAATTGCGAGATAAAACAGAGTGATGACCTCTATTAAAAAGAGGATCCCATCAGCTTTCTATAGGCTAGGCCTACTATATTTATTTCTCAACTTCACTAATATTAAGCAAATATTAAGCACATCTATCTTTACAACAGGAGAATAGGCCACCTGGCTGGCATGAAAATGAACCACAGGAAAAGCATCCTCCATTCACTATTTAAGTGCAGAGATGACGTATTTTTTCCCCAGCCCGTTTCGAGACAGGTGCATGACAATGGTCCATTCTAAATCAAAACGAATTTCACACATACAGTTGAAGTCAGAAGTTTACATACACCTTAGCCAAATACATTTAATCCTAGTAAAAAATCAGTCTTAGGTCAGTTAGGATCACCACTTTATTTTAAGAATGTGAAATGTCAGAATAATAGTAGAGAGAATTATTTATTTCAGCTTTTATTTATTTCATCACATTCCCAGTGGGTCAGAAGTTTACATACACTCAATTAGTATTTGGTAGCATTGCCTTTAAAATTAATTAATTTGGGTCAAACGTTTTGGGGAGCCTTCCACAAGCTTCCCACAATAAGTTGGGTGAATTCTGGCCCATTCCTCCTGACAGAGCTGGTGTAACTGAGTCAGGTTTGTAGGCCTCCTTGCTCGCACACGCTTTTTCAGTTTTGCCCACAAATGTTCTATAGGATTGAGGTTAGGGGTTTGTCATGGCCCCTCCAATACCTTGACTTTGTTGTCCTTAAGCCATTTTGCCACAACTTTGGAAGTATCTTGGGGTCATTGTCCATTTGGAAGACCCATTTGCGACCAAGCTTTAACTTCCTGACTGATGTCTTGAGATGTTGCTTCAATATATCCACATAATTTTCCTTCCTAATAATGCCATCTATTTTGTGAAGTGCATGTGCAGTTGCAAACCGTAGTCTGGCTTTGATATGGTGGTTTTGGAGCAGTGGCTTCTTCCTTGCTGAGCTGCCTTTCAGGTTATGTCGATATAGGACTCGTTTTACTGTGGATATACAGTGGGGAGAACAAGTATTTGATACACTGCCGATTTTGCAGGTTTTCCTACTTACAAAGCATGTAGAGGTCTGTAATTTTTATCATAGGTACACTTCAACTGTGAGAGACGGAATCTAAAACAAAAATCCAGAAAATCACATTGTATGATTTTTAAGTAATTAATTTGCATTTTATTGCATGACATAAGTATTTGATCACCTACCAACCAGTAAGAATTCCGGCTGGTGGTTGAAAAACGAGTTTTAATGACTCCAACCTAAGTGTATGTAAACTTCCGACTTCAACTGTATATTATTTAATATATGTAAAGACAAGATTAAATCAAGAATAGTCTGATGGGTGACAATATTAGCCTATCACTTGTGAATTATATATTTTCACTTGTGAATGATGCCCAGTTTAAGGTAAGAAACAATGCCTTTTTTTTGGTGAGTTTTTCGAATCATAGTCACACACCTCATGTAGCCTCACCCATAGCCCTATATGTTCTGATAAGGTTTGTATCTCAACTAAAGTGGCCAAATAACTTCTTAAAATTAAGCACATTAATCCACTTTACAACGGGTGTAGAGCCTAACTGGCATCCATACTGTATGCATCGCGTGAGTTTCAAGTTTGGGGAAGATAATGTTCACCATAGAAATGCACCTTTATAATAAAAGCATTACATGCATAATCGCATTTGTGGTCACTTTTGATAATGGTGTTTTCCCGCTAATGGAACATTCACACTTATAGCCTACTGCAGTGTGCACATTGCTGCGCTTATATTGTGAAGAAATAGCCTAATAGTTTATCAACATTTTAAGCTAAATGTTCTGATATGTTGCGTCAGCCTCATTGCATAAAAAAGTTAATGCTAGTCGTTGTTTTAATTTGGTATCTATCGCATCCCACAATTGTCCCAGACCATCTTTGGAATATCTATTTTTCGCACAGAATGTCAACTTTTGTACGACGGGGGATAGTAGATTGATTCGTTAGGCCTACTCATCTTGTTGGCTGACAAAAAGTAAATGTGGACAGTTCTTCCAATATCTTCAATATGCACCTCAGAATTGGATAAGGACGAGCACAATTGCGTTGCCAATGTGTCGGTCTTCACTTGTA